GCTTTTCTGTTGCCGAGGTCATGATGTCCGTACAACGTACAACTTGACGCTATCGCGACACGACATGAACCAGATTCAGGTCCTGGGCATCTGTTTGAGTGGTGCCTGCAACCTCAGCGCCCCAAGTGGGTTTGCAGTCGATACCAGTGGCGTGCCTTCAGCTGCTACTGACATTGCAGTGACTCCCGTGACTCAGGATAGCACAGCTCCCATTTTGGCTCAGTTTGTAGAGCTGTCTTACAACGACGCAACTCTGACGCTAGCCTTTTCTGGAGCCGTGGATCCTCAGGCTCTGGACCTATCAAAGATCACAGTGCAATCTGCACAGGAGACCGGCTCTTACAGCGATGGATTCACGTCACTCCAACTTTCGGGGGGAAATTGGTCATACAATGCCTCGGCACCCGAAAAGATCACTGTTCATCTTTTGGCGGCTGATATCAATGCACTCAAAACGGATGCCCTGCTCTGTCAGTATCGTTACAACTGCTTCATTACGGTTGCATCTGCGGTCACAAGTGACTACTCGGGTAATGACGTTTCTGCCACTAGCTCAGCACAAATGGTCGCCTCCCTGCGTCGGGACACCAATGCGCCCGTTCTTGAAACCGTCAAAATCAACATGAATCTTGGTGTGCTTCAGCTGAGCTTTGATGAGCCCGTGGCGTTGGATTCGCTGAACATGAGCTGCATCGAGTTCACCACTCCTTCTGGTGCGGACTTCTATCGCCTCACCACCTTGCATGGGTTGCGAGACACGCAGACCCTGGCCAACGTACCTCTCAGCGCGACAGATCTTCATAGCCTGCAGGCGCGTCAGCTGGCTGCCCCCACCGCACCCACCCGGATGCGAACGAGCTGCGCTCTGGTACAAGACGTGAGCTTTCCGACAGCCAACGAGGCTGGTCTGATCACAAACGCCTCCAGTCTGTCAGTGGAGCTTTTGGTGCCTGACACGCGTGCGCCACAGCTTGTTAGCTTTGAGCTGGACCTGGACGAAGATCCTGGTCTCATCACGTTTACGTTCAATGAGCCCGTGAATGCCTCCTCGCTGGACGCCACCACCATGTTGCTTCAGCCCTCGGCTGATAACACAAGCTCCAGTCACGCCGTGGCCGCGTGCACGCTTGAACCCGAGTACGAGCGGGACGCAGCTGTTGACTTTGTTTTTGGCCAGACCGTGTTTGCGTGTCGACTGTCGGCAGCGGACCAAACGGCCATCAAGTCCAACCCGCATCTGGCCACGAGTTTGTCCACGACTTATCTGAGCCACGCTGGTGGTCTGGTCCTGGATATGAGTGGGAATGCGGCGGGTGCACTGTCCAACGCGACGGCGCAGCGAGCGCGCTTGTATGTGGGAGACAGCACACCGGCGCGTTTGACGTCGTTTACGCTTGATCTGAGTCTGCGCGAGCTGCGCCTGACCTTTAACGACGTTGTGGACCCCTCCTCTTTTGTCGCAGCCCAGATCACCTTGGCTGCGTCGGCCACCGTGGTGGCTAGCAACTCTTATATTTTGACTTCGTCGGAGGCGCCAGGCTCGACTGGATATCGTGTGGTGATTCCACTCAACGCCAATGACTTTTTTGAGCTCGTTTCCCATCCGTCCTTGGCCTTGAGCAGTGCCACAACCTATCTGCAGATGACTGCGTTTGCCTTTGACGATGTCACGGGTGTCGACGTGGCGGCCATCACCACCCCCCTCGCAGCGACTGGCTTTGTGGCTGACGTCATCGCCCCCACATTGACCAACGCAACGGTGGACTTTGTCAACGCGCAGCTTCGTCTGCTGTTTTCCGAGCCGTTGACGAGCGTCTCGATTGACGCCTCGGCTGTTGCCTTGTTGTCTGCGTCTGGAAGCGTTGTGGCGCAGGCAAGCAACACAAGCACCGGTCCGTTGGGTGAGGCTACTTTGCAGTTGCTTCCCACGATCATCCAGTCCCTCAAGGCAAAAAGAATTTGCACGCCAGGTGCCACCTGCTTTTTGAATATCAGTTCCGCATTTGGATTGGACTATTGGAACAACGCCAATGATGAGGAGCTTTTACATGCCGTCGGTGATGTCATCCCAGAAACCGCAGCACCGATTCTCCTTGGTGCGACGCTGCTGGCCAGCAATAATTTGACGCTTACGTTCGACGAACCAGTGGATGTGGCGGCAGCAGCAGCTGTTGACCCCACCACCATCGAATTTGTCGTCATAACCGGCCACAGCGTGGCTGCCAACTTCTCTGCCCGAGTCGTGGCGGTCGGACCATCAGCATCTGAAATCATCGTCGTATTGGAGACGGAAGCTTGCAATGTTTTGCGTGCCGCCAGCATCAGTGAGCTAGCCTCGCTATCCATGCTCTTCAGCGCTGGAGCCGTAACAGACCGCTTCGGTGTGAATAGTGACTCTGGCAACGCAGATGTGGTTGTAGAGGCCCGTTCTCCCACGCCCGCGCCTGTCAATAGCACATACAATGCTGGAACCGGCAGCCTTCGCCTAGTATTTGACGCTCCTATTGACCACACCACCTGGAATGCATCTGCCGTCCAACTGTGCAACGGCACAAGCTGCCTGAACTTGCCCTCAGATACTCCAGTTGAGCGCATTTATTCGACTGCAAGCTGGCCGGCGATTCACGCACCACCCTGCTGGTCAGCCGGAGCCCCAACGCTTTGTGCTAACCTCAGCTATTCAACAACCATTGCTGTTACCCTAACTAATCAATTTCGCGCTCAAGGCCTTCTCTCAAACATTGGGCTGTCCTCGTCGACTACAATTGTTACAGCAGCTGCTGGTTGGCTGCACGATGCCAGCCAAGTACCACTGGCCGCCTACACGGCTCCGGTTGACACCTTGTTGCCCGATGCCAATGGGCCGGCTCCACTCAACATTTCGCTCAATCTAACATCCAACGTTTTGTCACTACGTTTCGACCGACCGGTGGATAGCTCAAGCATCGATTATACGCTCATCCAACTTCACAACGCCTCGTTGGCGTTCGATCTGGCTGGTCATGCGGTCACGCTTGCCAGCTACGACGACAACCGTGGAATTTATGTGCAGCTTGATAACGCTGTGATTGCAGATCTCAAAACCCTTGGTATCCTCACGGGGGCATTACCCGGCACCGCATCAACCTTGGTTCTCGAACTACAGGTCGGTGCCATCGCCAGTGCCTACAATGTCGACAGCGAGAATACAACAGCAGTCGTTGATATTTCCGCCGCTGATGCGACTCCACCGGAGCTAGTGTCCTATGTGCTCGACCTAAACGCAAAAACTCTTCAGTTGGAGTTTACCGAGCCTATTTTACAAGACAATGTCAATACTAGTCTTTTGGTGTTGAACGATGTGGCTCTGAGCACGTCCAAAGTTGACATTTTGAACGCAACCTACCCTAATCAGCAGCAGGTCGTACTAACCTTGAGCGCCCATGACTTTGCAGCGCTGAAAACTCGCATGCCAGTTTGGTCTGCGGCTGCAACCAGCTTGGACATTGCAACCGGTGCTGCCCAAGACACAGCCAACATTGACGCCACAGCTGTCACTAATCGGCTGGCCACGACGGTGGTGCAAGACACGACGGCGCCAACACTTTTGGCCTTTGCTGTGGATGCCAATGAATGGAAATTCTATTTGACCTTCAGTGAACCAGTCAACGCCAGCACATTCAGTCCAAGTAGCTTGACTCTGATGAATCTCGACACACCAGCCCAAACCCTGCAGTTAGATGCCGGCACAACCAGCTCGTACACGGCAGGTTTTCCTCTCCTGGACCACGTCACTTTGACGCTGAATGCGTCAGATCGCGTGCAGCTACAATATTTTTCGGGTCTGTATGAATCTCTAAACTCCTCCATGCTGTCTTCCACGTCAGGCCTTATTCAAGACTATGGATCGGGCAACACCATGACTGCAATCACGCCAAGCGCGCCTCTTGTGGCCGCATCCTATGTGCCAGATACCCTGCCAGCCCAAGTCTTGGCCTGGCAGCTCAATCTTGCGACGGGGGAGATTGTCTTCACGCTGAGCGAGCCCCTGAATTGGAGCACAGTTGATGTGTCTCGCTTGGTCGTCGGCCCAGGCGTCAACGCAAGTGTTCGTCTCGACGCCTCTGGGGCGTTGGCCTTTGTGCAATTTCCCGATGTGTATAGTTTAGTGCAAGAGCTAGTCACAGCCACATACACCCTGGCGTCCAGCGAGCTTGATGCCATCAAACTGTCGACGCGTTGTTTGGTCAGCAGCACGTGCCTGCTCCATTCCCTGACGGCCCTGGGCGCTGATTGGGCGTCCATCGAGGTTGCACCAATCAACGACCTTGAGCCAATTGTCCTTACTCCTGATACCATTGCGCCTAGCTTTGTCCGCTTTGCTGCATTTGATTTAAATGCGGGCACACTGTCACTGCGGTTCAATGAAGCCATCAATGTCAGCTCAGTCAACGCTACCGCCCTTGTTCTCACTGACAGCTTTGAGACTAGCTTTGACTTGCGTTTGAGCAATGACTTGGACTTGGTGGTCTCACCCAACGGTCTTGATGTCAACATCTCGCTCAGCACCACCACTCTGAATCGCTTGAAGGTGGACGTGGCTACAGGAGTTGCCATTTGCCGCCGCCAGCAAACCTGCTACCTGCGCTTGGATAATGGGTTTGTGGCGGACATGAGTGGCAATGCCATCCTCGCAGTGGACCCTGGAACGTTTGTGGCCTCTATTCGCGCGGCTGCCTTTTCAGCCGATACAACTGGACCACAACTCTTGAGCTTTGAATTGGATCTTGGCGAAGGCTTGCTGCACCTCTCGTTTGATGAAATCGTGGACACAGACACCCTCGATCCGACAGCTCTGGTATTGGTCGGAAATAGCAGCACACTCACTCCTTCCTTCACTCTCACTGGTGGAGTTGCAAGCCAACAGACGCAGGCCAGCAACTGCACGTTGATCATGACTGAGGCTGATTTGCTCAATCTCAAAGCCATTGTTGGCCTGGCTACTTATCTTAACGAAACGTTTCTGCTGAGCTCCGCGTTTGTGGAGGACAGTTCAGGGAACTTGGGTGGGGCCTTGGCTTCACCGCTGCCCGCGTCTGCATTGTACACGAATATCCAACCCGCTCAGCTGGAGTCGGTGGGCAGCTTTGATTTGCGTGACAACAAGATGCGCCTCACTTTCTCACAAGCTGTGGACGTGGATACCGTGCAGTTTGGCCGGTTCTATGTGCAAAGCACGTCGGATGGCGGTGCGGGAACGGTTAGTGTTTCTTTGGAGGGAGATAGCGCCGTTTATACCGACAGCACAAAACGCATCATTGACATCTTTTTCAGTCGTCAGGACTTGGTGCGCTTGAAGTTGGACGCCAGCGTAGGCACTACCATTAACAACACTTACATTGCAATGGACACCACGGCCATTCGCGACAAATTTGGCACTGCGGCCGTGGCTGTTTCTCCTTTCTCGGCACTGCAGCCCCTCGCGTTTGTATTTGACACTGCTGCTCCTGTGCTTGAGTCGGTTCATCTCAATATGAGTTCTGGCATTCTCAGTCTGGTCTTCGATGATGTCATCAATGCCTCCACTGTAACCGCCAGTCAGTTTCGCATCCAAAGCACGGGCAGCATTGGGGCCACTGCGTACCACGACCTTACGGCTGTGGAAACCTTGTCGGATGACGGGTTTGAGTTGGAATTGCGCATCAGCCGCAGCGATCTGAATACGATCAAGAGCCTTACAAACCTGGCCACCTCAAGCAGCAACACCTACATTCGCCTCTTTGAGGCTGCCGTCTTGTCGGTGGTTCAGGGTGACTCGGTAGTGGCAGCCACCAGGCAAGCGTCTTTCCAAGCGGATGTGGTCATGCCTACAGTGGAAAGCGTGGCAGTTAATACCTCCAGTCTTACTCTGACCCTAACTTTTAGTGAGACAATCAATGCCAGCCGTGCCAACACGTCCCGCATCCACCTTGCGAGTGGCAGCGGAGAGTTCTTGGTTCTGCCGTTCTCGGGCGTGCAGCGCTCCATGGCCGACCCCTCAATTCTTTTTGTGACTCTAAGCCGCAGCGAGGCCAATTCCTTGCAGCAGCAATATCCTCTCTGCTCCTCAGCATCAACCTGCCTTGTAACGATCGACGCAGAAGGCATTTTTGACATGAACGGCAATCCAAGCATTGCCTTTGGGCCTACCCCAGCCACCATATTTACGGATGACCATGTGCGCCCCGTGCTACAGGCCTTTGACCTGTCTTTTGTGTCAAACTCGAATGCGCAGCTAACACTTTCATTCTCCGAGGTTGTCAACACGACGCAACTGGATCTCTCGCGCCTCGCCCTCACGGACAATATGAGCACCACAATTCAGCTGACTGCAGCCGTGCTCGAGCCGTCCCTGACAGATCGTGTTCAAGTGAACTTGACTGGCAACCTATTGCACGCCATCAAGGCGCCGGGTACCATCGGCGTGGTATTGGCACACACGTGGCTGCGTGCCAACGACAGTTTTGTCACCGATACGCGTGGAAATTTGAACTCCGGCTTATCCAGCTTGCTGGCTGTGAGTGCCGTGGTGAGCGATACTTTCCCCGTGCTTGTGACAGCAGCTGCATTGGACATGAGCGCCGGTACCTTGTTGCTGACCTTTGACGAGCCCATCAACGTGAGCACCCTGTTCGCATCACAGCTGACCATTGGCACTAGCGCCGGACAATTTCGTTTGACGGGCCAGACCGCCGCGAATCTGAGCTCTCATGCTACGAAGGTCACCCTTGCGCTGCTTGCTGGTGACCTGAACCAGGTGCGAGCTTTGTTTGCGGCACAGCCTACCATGACTTTGAACGCAACCAATACTGCTGTTCGGGATGTCTTTGGTAACGGCGTGGATGAAGCAACCACACAAACCCCTCTTGCTCTGACGCTGGCCGTGGCAGACACTACTTCACCAACCGTTCTATCTTTTGACTTGAATATGACATCGGAGATCTTAACGCTGCATCTTTCCGAGTACATTCGCCCAGCATCCGTCGACCCAAGTGTGCTGACCCTACAGGCAGCTGATGCTTCTCGTAATGTCACCCTTGACGTCGAGACTTTGGTCATCGAAACGCAGGTGACCAGCGCATCTCCTTTCATTCGCATCCAGCTGAGTGCCAATGTCATTGACAACGCCAAGCTGCAACTGCAGCCGTGGTTGGACGATAGCTCATGTGTTCTCCATGTGGCAGCCGCTTTTGGGCTCGACGCAGCCAATAATTCGTTTGAGGCTGCTCAGGTTCTGTCCGGCCTCATCAGCCCCGACACTCTGCCGCCACGCTTGCTCAGCTACGACCTGGTAGATGTTGCCAACTCGGACACCGTTGCTGCTGAGCTGCATTTGAACTTTTCGGAAGCAATCAACGCTTCAGCCGTGGACGCAACCACCATTCTCTTGCTTCGCTTTGCGAACGATGATGGCGTCGTGTTATCCAACGCCCAGGCACCCGTAACTGCAACTGCTGCACGCCTTCTCACCGTTGGTATCAGCTGGCCAGAATTTGACCGCTTGCGGACAGCCGTTGGCTTGGGGTGGTCCATCTCCAGCCTGTACCTGGCACATTCACAGCTCGCCAACGACACGGCTGGTAACAGCATTGTGGAAATCGAGTCTAGTGCACCCCTCGCAGTAACAGCTCTGACGGCAGACCTGGTACCACCCTCCGTTGTGGCGTTTGACCTTAACCTGTCTTCCTCAGTGCTCACCTTGGAGCTAAGTGAACCTGTGAACACTTCAGCACTAAACACCAGCATGCTGCGACTCCAAGCCTCAGGTTTGAGTGCCGATGTGAGTGTGCTGTTGTCCGGCTCCGAGCCCGTGCCAGACTCGGGCGTTCTGGCTAGTGAGCTGGGGTTGCAACTGACCACTGAGGTGTACCACACCATTTTGCGCACGACCAGCCTAGCGATGAGCGCTGCCACAACCTTTTTCTCTCTGGAAGGACCCACAATTTACAACGTTCTTGAACCGGGTGCAACCGTGGATGCCAAGGGCAATCAGCTCATTCGCATCAACGCCTCGGATGCGCTCGCTGTGCGTACTTTCACTCCAGACGCCGTTGCTCCACGCATCGCAGCATTTGATCTAAACGTTCAAAACGGCACAGCTACTCTTGTCTTTTCTGAACCCGTTCAAGCTGATTCTTTGAACGACGCCACCCTTACACTTCGCGGAGGCGAAGACGTCAGCGGCACATCTGTTGCGCTGGTGGCAACCGCCGCAAACTGGACAGCACCCACAGTTGTGGTTCTTCAACTGACCGTCACCACGGCCAACCAGATCAGGGCCACAAACAGCATTGCCACGCGTTTCAACAACACCTACTTGCACGTAGACAGTGGGTTTGCTCTCGATTACAACAACAACTCGGGAGCTGCGGGTGTTTTGCAAGTCCGTTCTTTGTTCACTGACGGTAATCCTCCTAGTTTGGTCCAAACTTTGTTTGACGTGGAACTGGGTGTGCTTGAGCTGTCCTTTGACGAGCCTCTCAATCTGAGCAGCACTCAGCCGGGTGCAATCACGCTCTTTTCAAACTCGTCAACCATCAACTACACGTTGCCCGTCAATGCAACTCTGGAGGGCACAAACGACCAAGTGCTCTCGTTTGCTCTAAGCAGTGCCGAGTTGAACATCATGAAGAAGGCAGCCGTCTGCGTGTCGGCCGCGACCTGCTATTTGACGTACACGGAGAACTTGGTCAAGGACCCGGAAAGGACGAGCGTTCGCGCTTTGCAGCGCGAAGAGTATCGTGGATTTGACGTTTTTACCCGAGATTCATCGCGACCCTATCTGCGGCCTCTGGGCTTTGTATCTTTCGACCTGGCAACAGCCAATATGGTGCTACTGTTCAACGAGGTTGTGGATATGGCCTCTTTGAACGCTTCTTTCATGACTCTGAGCTCAACGTACAATCCAGCTGATAGCGGTGCCACCCTGCTGACCTTGGATGGCGCGACGGCAGCTAGTAGCGATTCGGACTTCAGCTTGCAACTGCAGCTCACCCCCGCGCTGCTTGCAAACGTCAAAGCAAGCTCGGGCCTGTGCACGCTGCCCACAAATTGCTACGTGCTGCTTGGGGCGGAAGCTCTCGCTGACATGTCTGGCAACCCCGTGATAGCCTCGAGTACCACCTTCCCTGGATTTGCAGTACAGAACTTGCAGCGTGATACGGTGCCACCGATTTTGACTGGCGCCTCGCTCAATATGCAAGATGGTGTGTTGACCCTTGCGTATGACGAGCCTGTCGTGGCAACACCCCTCAATGGCTCTAAAATCGAGCTCTTTGCGAGCGGTCAGATGACATGGCGTGTGACTTTGTCAACCGAGGCGGTTGTCAGAACGCCCAGCTCAAGCGTGACTCTACGTCTATCCAGCGTGGACGTCCGTGCTATCAAGAGCACATCGCTTGTGAGTAAGCCGATTTTGCTGCTTGACGCTGCTGAAGGGCTGGTGGAGGACATGGCCAACTTGCCCAACAATGCCCTGGCCAGCGCAAATGTGACTGTCGTGGTAGCACCCGTTGATACACGCGCGCCACAGCTTGTTAGCTTTGAGCTGGACCTGGACGAAGATCCTGGTCTCATCACGTTTACGTTCAATGAGCCCGTGAATGCCTCCTCGCTGGACGCCACCACCATGTTGCTTCAGCCCTCGGCTGATAACACAAGCTCCAGTCACGCCGTGGCCGCGTGCACGCTTGAACCCGAGTACGAGCGGGACGCAGCTGTTGACTTTGTTTTTGGCCAGACCGTGTTTGCGTGTCGACTGTCGGCAGCGGACCAAACGGCCATCAAGTCCAACCCGCATCTGGCCACGAGTTTGTCCACGACTTATCTGAGCCACGCTGGTGGTCTGGTCCTGGATATGAGTGGGAATGCGGCGGGTGCACTGTCCAACGCGACGGCGCAGCGAGCGCGCTTGTATGTGGGAGACAGCACACCGGCGCGTTTGACGTCGTTTACGCTTGATCTGAGTCTGCGCGAGCTGCGCCTGACCTTTAACGACGTCGTGGACCCGGTGACGCTGGTGAGCTCAGAGCTCCAGCTCTGGGGCAATGCAACAGGTGCCTTTGTGGCACATTCTCTCACGCTCGAGTCAATCCCGGTCACCACCAGCCCAAGCTATCATGTCGTGATTTCGCTTTCAGCCGCGGACTTTTACGCATTAACAGCTGCGGCTCCATTCCACGGGCTCAACATGGTCTATCTGACCATGACAGCTGCTGTGCTCGATGATGTCTTGGGGAATGACGTTTCTGCTGTCACTCAGCGACGACCTTCTTTGCTTGTGATTCCTGACAACTCGGCGCCCGCCGTCGTGGCCGTGGTTTTGAACCTGACTGCAGAGACTGTCATCTTTACGTTTTCCGAGTCGATTAACGCAAGCGCCCTTCAGCAAGGGCAGTTGAGCTTTGGCGACGTTGCAAACACGGAAAACGTGACGTTGACTGACGCCAGTGTTGTGGACTCCGACAGTCTGGAAACAGTCGTGTCGCTGTCCCTGGACGAGGAGTCCAGCCTGCGCATTTTGAGCAACAAGCAGCTTTGCACTAGCCAAGCCAATTGCCGGGTTCTCTTGACATCCGCCTTTGCCTCGGATTACAGCGGTAACGCTCTTGATTTGACTGATCTTGCCAGTGCGCCACTCGTTGTGGTGGCAGACGTGCGCTCACCTACCCCTGTAGGCTTCTCCGCCAACCTCGCTCTGGAGACACTTACGCTGACATTCTCAGAGCCTATGAATTGGACTTCAATTGACGTGACCAGTCTCTCTGTACAAACATCACGTACCATGCCCTCGGCCACGGTCACTTTGACCAGCGATTGCAGTGTGGTTGCAACACAGCGCTATGGCAGTGTAGGCGTTATTCAACTCTCGGCAGTCGTGGCAGCGGAGGTCAAGCAGGACCTAGAGCTCTTGTCCTCCGCAAATCTCACATGGCTGCAAGTCGACGCCGCGGGCATTCGAGATTTAGCTGGCAACGAGAATTCGGCGGCTGTGCTTGCCGTAGGCGTCTACACAGCAGACAGCACTGCACCTGTGTTGATCGGGGTGGCTGTGGATATGGATGCAGGAACCATGACACTCGAATATAACGAGCCCGTCAATACAAGCTCAGTTGTGGCAGACCTGGTGCAGGTTTCGCAAACTAACGGCAGCTATTCCACGACACTCGATGCTGCCACAAGTGTGGCAACAGCCGCGCGCTTGAGCCGTGTGATCCAGCTCAACTGGACGCAAACTGACCTGAACTTTTTCAAAGCCTCTGGCATTTTCCAAACACAAGCTGAAGGCTTTGTGCGGACACAAGCAGCCTTTGTCACAGATCGTGCCGGTAATGACAACGAGATGCAAATGCTTGCAGTCAGCAGCTATGTTGCGGATGCAACAGCACCTCGGCTATTGGGTTTTGATCTCAACATCTCCACGGAGGTGCCGTTTGTTGAGTTGGAGTTTAGTGAAGCGGTCAATGTCTCAACGCTCCGCCTAACGAGCATGACCTTCCGTGCAGCACAGTCCAACGATGAAGCCCGCGCTGTGAATGTCACACTTGGGACCCTTCTTGGTGTGGTTGACGCGCAAGCACATACCACCGTGCAAGCACAGCTCAGCGCACTGGATCTGTTGGCCATGAAGGACAAGGGTGTGGCATTGACTCGAAACACAACCTTTTTAAGTACTCTGACTGGCTTTGTGTATGACTATGCGGGCAATCCAAGTGCCGAGGTTGTCAGCAGCGCTGCGCTTCAAGTCTCCAACTACGTTGGGGATCAAACTGGTCCAGAGCTGCTATTTGCTGCTGTGGACTTGGATGCTGGTACACTGGATCTCACTTTTGATGAACCCATTGCCAATGGCACTCTCAATGCCAGTGGTGTGCTATTGAGCAACGTCTCTCAGCCTCTCGTGATTCCTTAAAGCCTGTCAGCTTCAGGATATGAATTCTGTCTTGTCTCCAATCGCCTCTTTCAAAATGTCTTTTCCCTCGTTTCTTGATCTACTTGTCTTTTTGACTTTTGGCTTGCACTCATCTCGACTTGGATGTTTCCTGAGCTGTGGCCATTCCTCTCTCGTCCTTTGTGCGCCCCGATATTTTATCACGAGTGACGCGTTTTATCCGATCTGTCCTAACCTCCTTTTAATTGAGTAGAACACTTTGTAACAACATTTCCGGTCACGCCTTGGTGGTCAAAAAGTATAAGACAACAAAAAAAGAAAGAAAAGAAAAAAAAACAGGGACAACGTCAAACAACATCCGAACATTGCAGTTCGCGCCGAGCCTCTGGGCTCAGTGTTTAGACGAACAATCCTCATTCACCCTCTGGACCTGGACTTGCCGAATGAACACGATTCTTGATGACATCAGCATTGAGTCGAAAGTCGCGAGCTGTGCTTCGCTTCATTTCCCTCAAAAGGGATGGCAAGTCGAGCTTCTTACTCAGCTGCGTTGGGCAAACAAGGCAACAGAGAAGTGAGAAAAGATGTGTATGCGTGCGTTTGTCTTGAAAACAAGCGCGCTCCCCTTCTTCAAAAAGAGAAATAACTGCCTGCAAGCCAAAGCTCATTCCCGGCCTCACTGCGATGAGATGCCGCTCAAATTGCTCGACGGCAAAGGTCAAGTCGGGAATAATGCGCGCATCCGTTTTGCCCTGGAATGTAGACAAGTGTCTTAATGTTAAATAAACAAGATTGATAAAGACTGGCAATGACAGTGGAAGCATGACAGTGGAAGCACGATCATCGACATACAGCAAGGGTACTTGAAGCGTTGAAGGCATCAATGTTGAGGGTCATGCCGGTGGGAATAGGGCCCGAGAAATATCGAAGGCATTTCGCAACAGAACCGTGCAATAGTCTGGTGCCATAACTGCACAAGCAAGCGCACTGAGTCGAGGATTCAACTGTTGAACGTCAAGCAATGAACAAAAGCGAACCTGGCGACACGTCGCAAGAGAGCCTTCACAAATCCGGTCAAGCATCCGTAGGCTCTCCTCACGCTCTGCAACGCGGGGTGGATCCAAGCGCATGGGTTAATGAAGCAGAAGCCAACGTCGGTGCGCGGTGCAAACTCCGACACGCTCTGACAGCATTGTGGGCGCGACCCATATGCGATTGTGGGCACGTGGGTCCTAAATCAAGGCAAAGTGATTGTTCAAATCGGTCTTACCTTATACAAGGCCACAAAGGGCTGAGCTTTGTTGTAATGAACGGTCAAGAGCGTGGCCAAGACATCTCCAGCGGTCAAGGCGACCGTACACAGCTGCTGCGCCATCGCAGGACAAATTGTCAGAAGGCTGTTGTGAGGTC